AGTGACACATCTCTTCCACTAAGGCCCCACACCCTAAAAAGCACATGTAGCTATGAGTTCACCAATGGTTCCACAGATGGGTTCAGCAACCACATGATCCAGTCACCCAAAAAGTCCTACCTTTGATCACGAGACACAGATCAAAGTCATAACAAACACATAACTCAACTGCAAAAAAAAAAAAAAAAATCAAAAGCCTTAAAGAAACACTTATAAGTGAATTTAAAAGATTAGAAAAGAACCTAAATTGATATTTTCCAAAAGTACACATACAAATGGCCAAAAGGTATATGAAAAGATTTTTGACATCACTGAAGATCAGGAGATTCAATTTAAAACCACACTGACATCTCATATCACACTATTAGGATGGCTATTAACAAAACATCAGAAAATGGAAAGTGCTGGTAAGGATATGAAGAAAAGAAAACTCCTATAGACTATCGGTAGGACTATGCAGTATATATTCATTAAGGAAAAGCAGTATAGAGATTTCTCAAAAAATTAGATAATAGCACTATCACATGACCCAGTGTTAGGGTTTTAAATGTATCCCTCAAAGTCTCCTATGTTGAAGGCTTGATGTCCACTGCAGCAATGTTCAGCGTTGGGGCTTCAGGGAAGTGACTGGGCTAGAAGGGTTATGAGCTCACCAATGAATTCAGCAGATGATAGGACTGTTGGGAGACAGTGGTCACTGCAGGAGCTACCTGGAGGGCGGAGGTCATTGGGGTGTGCCATCAAAGGGCTATCTGGTCCCAGGCCTCCTTCCTCTTTCTCTGAAGCCCTTTCTTCTCTGTGCATGCTGGCCACACCAGGAGGTAAGCAGCTTCCAATTTTATATATGCCAGCTGCTGTAAAATACAACCCTACCTCATATGAAAAGCAATGGAGAGGGCCGGCCAAATAGCTAAGCAGATTAAAGTGCCTGCAAGCAGGCTCAGGGGCCAGGGATTCCATCCCCAGGCCTGCCGTGCCAACTCAGGGGTGCACTGAGACACCAACTGAGACTGGGCATGGTGGCGTATGTCTGTAATCCCAGTTTTTGGGAGGCTGTAAACAGGCGGATCACTACAAGTCGGATCCAGTAGTGAGACTCTGAACACCCCGTAGACCCTTCCCTAAAAATACAAAATAAATAAATAAATAATAAAAAGAAAAAAAAAAGCAATGGAGCCAATGGATCATGAGTTGGTTATCTTTCAAACTATAGCAACAATAAATCTTTGAGACAATTCTCTCAAATAACACATATAGCAATTCCACTTCTGAGTGTTTATCCAGAAGTATCTGCCCTCCTGTGTTCACTGCACCACTCACAATGCCCAACATATGTCGATAACCTAAGTGGTCCCTGTGCATCAATGACTAAGGAAAATGTAGGGCAAACACACGCTCACACAATGGAGTAGTAGTCTTAAGAACTCTGGCCACTTGCAGAACCTCAATCTGCAGGACATTATACTAAATGAAATAAGTCAGACAAAGATAAGTATTCTGTGATATTACTTAAGACATGGAGTATGAAAAACTCAATTTCAATCCAGGAAGCAGAGAGTAGCATGGTTACCAGAGGTCACAGGACATGGGAAAGAGGCAAAATGTTGGTCTAATGGTGCAAACTTTCAGTTTCAAGTTCTAGAGACCTAGGCCGGCCGATGAGATAGCTCAGGGAACTAAGCACCTGCTTAGGCAAGCGCAGGGACCAGGGCTCGATCCCTAGTACTGCACGTTTTGCCGGCCCCACCCCTGGGGGTGCAGAGCCAGCAAAAGAATCTGGGCATGGTGGCGCATAGCTGTAATCCCAGCTCTGCGGAGGCTGAGAACAAGAGGATCACTATGAGTCCGGGCTGCATAGTGGGACTGTATACCAAATACATTTTTTAAAAAGTTCTGAAGACCTTCTGGGTAGTATAGAAACTATAGTTACACACATTGTACACTTGAAAGCTACGAAGACATTAGACCAGCAATGGTGAACCTTTTAGAGCTTTCAGTGACATTAACAGCCCACTGTAAGTTCGATACCACTAGACCAGATCCTAAGTATTCTCAACACACACACACAGGCTAGCTATATAAAGTAACAGGTATGCTAATTGGCTTGACTGTGGTAATTATTTTACCATATAGTCACTGTACATTGAAACATCACACTTTACACCTTAAATATAAATTTTCATTATATTGCAATAAAGCTGGGGAAAAAGTAATCAGTTCCAGTCTTTACTGATATTATAGTTAAAACTGCTATTCTACCAGTAAACTTTACACCTTACCCCAAGGCTTAATATTTTATATAAGCATGCTGGTGTCGTTCAGTCTCCATGTACTCTGAGGTTTCACTTAATCACACATGAGTAAGGAGGAGTTACAACACAGCTCTTGTCCATCTAATTCACTTTAAAGGAGACTATTCCACCATTTGGCATAAGGAAAAAGAACACATCTAGGGAAACCTATCTTTAATTTCTTGACCAAAAATGTGAATATGGCAACTAAATGTGAATTGCTACATTTCTTCAACAAATATTTACTGGCCCTTTTTGAATGACACCTTCAGGAACAACAATTAGGTAAGACATACAGGGTGGCTGTCTCTGCCCTCGGACTATCACTGAGGACAGAGACAGCTGCCCTATGAATTAACCTTAGCAAAAGTCATGCTGACCCTGCCAACAAGTGGCTCCCTGTTCACTGAGACAGTCTGTATTATAAAGCAACATCTGCGCTTTTTCATGGTCAATAAAATGAATTTTTATCATCAAAGATACATGGTGAGCAAACCCAGGCTTCTGTGCTGGTGTCATTAAGCCATTCCTACTGCTCACAGGATCAGACAAGGCTGGAATCTCGAGTTGCTCCCTGTGAGGGTCCATGCTGGGCATCCCATGTGATCATGGAATAGACAGTACAAGAAACCCCTGGAAGTGACTCGGTCTCTACTCAACTTCTGGGAAAAAATGGGGAGAAGTGAATTACAAGCAATATGGAAAGAATTTGCCCTTACTCCTAATATTTCTTAAAGTACTTACCTTATATATATTTCTCTTCCTAACTAGAAAAGATTTCTTTTCCCGCATCTATCCTTTCTTTCCCTGTCCTGTGATGAGACCCACAGGGGGCAGAGACTCTCAGATCTGACAAACATTCAGGCAGCAGCTTCACTTGTGCCTGCAGTACACTCATCTCACTCAAGTGTAATAGAGCTTCTCTCTGCAATTCAAGGCTGGACTTTCTTCAGAAGAAAAGGGGTATCAAACCCACATTTAAATAGGAATTAACCACCCATGCAGTCCTCCCCATTATCCATAGGGCCTCATTTCACTTCCACAGATCAAAAACAGACACTAGGTCCCTTACGTAAAATGGCACATAAAATCACTAGGTGACTTGTAATATCTGTTAACAATGTAAATGCTATGGAAATAGTGTTAGACTGTACTGCTCGGGGAACAATGACAAGAAACATTTGTACATGTTTAGCACAAACATAATTTTGCGGGTGGCAGGAGAATATTTTCTATTCACAGTTGGTTCAATGGATAGGTGCAAAATTCATGGATGCAGAAAGATATGGAGGACCAGACTATTTTTAACTTTATCATTCCACAGTTTTTCATTTTTATTTTAATGGCAAATGTCTGAAGGCCCACATCTTGGTAGGTATGACAGAAAGCGCTTCCTCTATTGATCTGTCAATTACTAAGAGGCACACACACTTTCCATGCAGAGCTTCCCATCCTTATAGCTGCCACCTGCACCCTGCCTGGATGGTTGAGAGCTTTCAGCGGTGTGAACAGCCCACTGTGGCCCAGGTGATGATACCTACTGGAATCTGCTTAAAGACCAGACTGCCGGCGGCCTGCCCCTTAGCTCAGTTCTTTAAGTGGCTGCTTCAACAAAGCAGTTAGGCTCAGGTTGCTGTGGTTCGATCCCCACAACACCCCAGCCAGTCATGCCTTGAAGGCATTCGGAGCAAAAAAAAAAAAAAGACCAGACTGCCCCACCAAACAGGGAGTGTTAGTCTAAAATCAACCCTCACACAGACTGGTCCAGGTGATACCTAACATTCGAACCTTTCCACACAAAAGAAAATGAGACATCTGCCTTTCCAACTCCATTATAAACATGTTTCCTGCAATGCACCAAGTTAGACATGAAGGAAGGAAGAGGCAAGGAAGGAAGAGGCTGTTTCCACTAAATTTGAACCCAACTTCAGAGTGAAGAAGTTGGTCACATGAAAAATGCTTAACTTCCTACCGTCCCACAGGACTTGTGGTGTGCAGAACATGTTCCTAGAACGTTTCTTTACAAATCAAACTAATGGGGATTTGAGTCAATTAATATTTTTATAGGCACTCATGACAAATGCAACAGTGAAGAAGCAAGTTTTCTTTACTTAAAAAAAAAAAAGTACTTTACGGGGCTGCAGCTATAGCTCTTTGACCCAACACCTGGCTAGCATGTATAAGGCCCTGGGTTCATCCCACACCCCGCAATACACAAATTTTGAAAATCTTTTTTTACCATGTTATCAACATGTAGGCCAGCAAGCACTGAGTTCTTTTTTTACTAGCCAGAGCGGCTGACACCACTTCGAGGGAGGGGAAAGCTCATTTCCCCTTTCAGAGGGTGCACCTGTAGTGGGCTCCAGGGAAACAATGCGGCGGCCTAGGGGACAAGTCCACACTTCTCGGTGAGGGTCGCTTCGGATATGAAAAGGCACCCGTGGGAGCAACGGCCAGCAGCATCCCGGGGCGCAGGGCAGGCCCAGGCGGGGTGGGGGGCGGGGCGGGCGATGACGTCATCCCTGGATACCCCCCCTAGCGACGCCGGAGCCGAGGCCTGGGGACACCTCCCCGCCGCCAGGGAGGTGAACGCCGAGGGGGGGACCGTGCCCCGGCCCGGCCCAGCTCGCACGGCCCGCGGGGACGCCCGGCAGAGCTGCACCTGCTTCCCCGCCCCACCCTGGCCCGGCCCCCGAGGAGACACCATACATTGTCACGCCGTTGGAGCTGCTCCGCGGCGGCTGCTTCTCAGGTTCCGGGACGCGGGACTCGGCAGGCTGCGGACGCGGGCTGTCGTCACCGGCCACCGCGGGTTTGTCGGCGTCTGCCATCGCGCCACCGCGCTCTCTGAGGGCTCCGCGCGCGACAATGGCGACGGCGGCCCGGAGCGGTAACGGATCCCGGTTTGAAAAGGCCCCGAGCGCTCCCAGCCCGATCTCGCGAGAACGTGCGCGGCACGGGAGAAGGGGGGGGGAGCCGCGGAGGGGCGTGGCCAGGGCCCACCAGCAGGCGCGAGGGTCGCGCCGAGGACCCGGATCATCCGGTGCGGCGCAGGTGGGCGCGGTGAGCGGGGATGCGCGCGCCACGCCGGCTGGGAGCCGCCTGCCGCGGCGGGCGATAGGTGGTCCCGCGCACGGCTGCTGGCGGTGCTCCCGGTGCACGCCTCGGAGTTTCTTTGAGGATTGGCCCTGAGAAGGAATTATTTGGGACTCAGTTATCAGCTTAGGGGGAAAAAATTGAGTGTTAAAAAAAATATATTGGGGCAGCAATCAATCCATAATTTTCATAATGAATCAGTTAGATGGGCAAATAATGGACATTTGGGTTTTGGTTATCCGTGTATGACGAGCTGATGACGATTACGAGTGCAACAGATACAGGCTCTTATGTATCATCATACAGAATTTTAAGATGTACATTTTCCCCCCAAAGTCTGGAAAAGAAATATATGAAACGTAGTGAGCTCTTGGGTACTGTATTTCACGCTGAGCCCTTTTGTGCTGAGACGTTCGAAGACCTCTCCAAGCGTTTTGCAGAGGAGGAGGCCTGTGCTGCACGTGCTTTCCACAGAGAAGGCTGACGTTCCTAGTAAGGAAGAACTGAGAACAAGGAGGGTTCGCAACGTGGAGGTTGGTGCCGCAATAGTATAGAATGACTGACCGAAATCCTAGAGTTGGGGCTGGGGAGGTGGCTTGGCTGGCTAAGCGCCTGCCTGGCAAGCGCCGGGGCGACCCGGGTTTGAGCCCTGCTACCTCATCCGGTGCCAGCCCCAGAACCCCTGGCTCACCGTGGAGTCCCCTGAAACACAACGTGGTGGTGTACACCTGTGAGCCCAGCGTTGGGGAGGCTGAGACAGGAGGGTCACTACACATCCAGACCGTGTAAAAACACTCTGTACCAAATAAATAAAAAGATTTTTTTTTTTAATCCTTGAGTTGACCAATTTCACATGAGAGAACATTTTCATTTTAATCATGATGAGAATGCTTGGGAAAGTACTGCGGCTGAGGTGTGCCTACACTGTTTTATACACATAATTCGTGCTGTGGTACTTGCTGCATAAATTGTTGATTCCCAGTCAACTCTAACCCCACTTTTGGGGTAACACAAGGACCCCTGGATGTGGCAAGAAAATCAGGACTCAATCCCCTGCTGTGCCTCTTGTTGCCTGTTAACTCCTTGGGCAAGACATCCCTCACTCTGCACCGTAAATACGGGCAACAAAACCTGCCTTGCAGGTTAAGGTGACAGTTAAAGCAGTTCACAGGCATAGGACAAAGTTTTGGTATTAAATCCCAATGCGTTAAAGCCTTGGGCAGGCTTTAGTCAAGGAAAATTCGGATGATTTTCTCATAATAAATTATCCGCATTTTAAAGTATTCTTCGTTCTCTATTATTCCTTTGCTACAGTTGAATTTAACAGTGAAACTCATTCTCACAATTGCTGAGACATTTTTTGGTACAGTGGATTTTTGTGAAAATTCTTTAGTCAATTCATTATGTATAAGGAGATTGTCATGCTTACAAACAGTAGTGGGATTCGGCCCCCAAAATTTAAAGACCCAATCCACAAATGGGCATCTGAGATGAACCCACACTTCCCAGAGGAAGAAATAGAAGTGGCAAATAAAACATGATAAAATGCTTCACATCACTGGCCATTGGAAAAATGCAAATTAAAACAACATTGAGATACCATCTCACCCCAGAAAGAAGGATTATCATACGGAAATCAACTAATAACAAATGCTAGGGAGGTTGTGGGGGGAAAAGGAACCCTTCTCCACTGCTAGTGGGAGTGTACACTGGTGCAACCATTATGGAAATCAGTGTGGAGACTCCTCAAAAAACTAGGAATAGAAATCTCATTCAATCAAACTATTCCCCTTCTGGGTATTTTCCCAAAAGAACTGAAAACATCATACCATATATGTGCACCCATGTTTATAGCAGAACTATTAGTCAGAGCCAAATCTTGGAAACAAATAAAATGTTCATCACTTGAGGAATGGATGAAAAAGATGTGGTGTTTTTATGTAATGGAGTATTCCTCAGCTATAAGGAAAGACAAACTCGAAGCCTTTATAGGTAAGTGGATACAACTAGAGGCAATACTTATAAGTGAAATAAATCAGACCCACATGTGTAAATATCATTATAAGAACCTAAAAGAATAAATGAAACCTGAAAAAATGAATAGTGTAAGAACCTAAAAGAATCAATAAAACCTCAAAGGTATATAGATATAGTAAAACAGAAAAAAACTGAATTTAAGGATTAAACAATGAAGATGAGAGAAAGGAGAAAAGATAGGAAGAAAGGAAGAGGGGAGAAACACTCAAGTATATATACAGGATGGCTGAGGTGATTGTACTAATAGTTTCCATAAGTTTTATGAAGACAGCAGTTAATGTTTAGAATTTTCACCTTGACTAACTGTATGTTGTTATCTGCGATCTGAGCAACTGCACTGGGGACAGCGATGTGTGATCCTAGACCCATGGTTGAATACCTCTCATCTCGGTCTTCTAAATGTGTACCATTTCTAATGTCTTATCGATTATTATACTCTAAAATTAAAAAAAAGATTAAAATTCATTGAAAGCAAGCATTAATATTCAATTATTTTTCCACTCTTGCATAACTGTATCTGTTAATCTGAGCAACAGATTTGACAATAAAAATAGATAATACAGCAACCATTGTTAATTAGCCATTCCTGTTTTGAAAATCTGTAACATGTATTGTTTTATGTTACCCTGTTGTTGTCCTTTTGTCTATTTATTTTTGCTTCTGTTTTTACTTTTCAAAATAAAATAAAATTGAATTAATAAAAAGCAGTAGTGGGCACGTGAAGAACTGAAAAATGAGCAGCACTTACCTGAGGGAGGACATTACAAAAAGAAATATTTCAGTGTTATAACAGAGATAAAAGCAAAGCATTATGTAAAAGTTACTTATAAACGCAAGATTTTAGTGCTATCAGAGAAAAGAAGAAAATATGATTTAGAATTATTGACAAATGGAAGCGATTGGCTCGCGTGCCATAGTGTGCCAATAAAAACATCTCAGAAGTATCTTGCTGTCCTTATAAATTGTGTACGTAAGTCAGGTTCCTCTCTTGCTATCCCTTAGGCTAGGTTTTGAAGAATGCATGGAGGACAGAGGTTAATTCTTACTAGAGATGAGCGAGGGTTTGCAAGAAGAGCTGGTTCTGGAAAGATCGGAAGGACTAGGGCATCTCAGAAAGAGAAGAACAACCTCTCTGTACGTTCATCTTTTCTCCCCTCTCATTATTAATATTGTACTTTCCTTAAATAAATCTACAAAAGGTAAAGAAGACACAGTTATTAATGATCTATTGCTGATTTCAATGTGTATGTTTTCCTCACCCGTTCACTATCTTCTGGTTTTTGTGGGGGTTTTAGTATAGGTACGAACACTGAATAATTATTTTTCTTTTCTTTTGGTGTGTGGAATTGAACTCAGGACCTTGTGCTTCCCAGCAGGCACTTGTTCCACTGGGCTATATCACCATATCCCCAAAATTCTTAAGAGATGCTCAAATTTTATATCTTTCCCCAGTTCCCACTGCAAAATTGTTTTTTTCCCATAATTTTATTGAGAAACAAATAGCAATGAGACAGTTTCAAATCAAATTGGTAGGACAGTTTCAATAATTAACACATTGCATACTCTCTTCCTAGTGGTTATTTGCTGTACAAGATGCGGGCATTATATCCTATTTACAAACACTATTAGAACAAATCCCTCTATTCATTAAGAGAATGTAACTATATATCTATCCTAACCACTTTGAATACACAGATACAAAATGGACATTCATCTGTATACGCTTTTTTTGTTAAGTTCCATTATTTGAATATTATAGGTGTGTTACTCAGCAAAATATTCTAAAAGAGTTCAGTAGCCCATAATAGTATTGGGTCTTCCGCTTCACTGGCAATGTCAGAAATTGTTGACCTGAGTCCCCTACAGCTCAACATAACAGCATGGCTTTACTTCTTATACTTCTTTTTTATACTTTTCTGCTGATGGTTAAGACCAAGGTAAAGCAAGACCTATGCAACAAGAGTTGTAGCTTTTGGATCTGATAAGGTCAGTCAAATCCCCTCAGGATTACCACTGCAAAATTGTTAACTTTTGCAAATGCACAAGAAGTATTTCTGGTACAGTGTCACATGACCACTTACTTTTCATACAACAAATCAGAGAGGGAGAAAGAGAAGACAATGTACACATCTAGAAATTTAAGCCAAAAGTTCCAAAATGTTTTCAGAGATCATATGCAGAGATAGATATAAATTGAAGAAACCCTGTATGCTCATCAGCCAGCAGCAAATACAAAGAATGATGTCTTCTGCTGGACACTATTTCTGTCTTTTCAGGCAGCTCCCAAGTCCAGCCAAGAAGGGAGTGTCCTGTCCTAGAGCCAGCAGCAGCCAGAGGACGGTGACAGGACACACATAGCTCCAGGGAGGTCGGCAAATGGGTCTGGGTCTGCGCACACCCAGGTATCAGTTCCCAAAGGACAAGGACACAGGGTGGGACCTGGGATGTGAGGCTCCTCTTTGTGTTTAAGAATTAAAAGGCAAAGCCAAGCAAAACAAACAATAACAAAAAGTGCACTTCGATCCAATAGTCAAGTTTCCTGATGGAACATATACATTAGGGCTTGGCTTGGAAGCACCGGCTTTCCAAAGTGTAAAAAGTCAAATGGTCTTTCTTTGAAGGTGGAAGAATGGATAACTTGTAAAGGGACTACTTCCCAAAAGAAAAACATCATACCACAGTGATATAGGCACTCCCATGTTTATAGCAGCGCAGTTTGCAGTAGCTAAATCTTGGAATCCACCCAAATGCCCACCAGCCAAGGAATAGATAAAGGAGATGTGGTTTTGCTATACCCCGGAGTCCTACTCAGC